CTCGTCCCACCAACAGAAAAAATGTAACACCGAGCCCAACAGGTGGGCATATATGCCTTTCGTGAACATAATGTGGAGCCCGTCGCCTCTTACAAGGCGAGTGGTCACACCGTCCAGGGTGAAGAGAGGATGGGCAGACCTCGGGTGCCGTGCTGCCTGCTTCGAGGTGACACGAACGAAGTTTTGCTTGTCCTGCTCGATTTCTTTGACCCATTTGCCATGTCGTGCTGCTTCCTCTTTCAAGGAAGCATCACACTCCCAGCACGGGTAGTGGGACTGCCAGTGTGGCAGTCCCACTACATTGCTGAAAAAGTCGTGGTCCCCTTGCAGGGACCAAATGATGCCTTTGTGATGGCCAGGAGTGAGCGGTTGGCCTTTCAGTTTCTCGAACACCGAACCCTTTTTCAAGGGTTCGTTCTCAGGCCCTTTTTTGGGGTGGTACCCTTTGGCGAGGGCATCGAAGCTCCAGACTAGCCATTTCATGATTCCAGGCCAGGTGCTCGCTGAGGTCGCTATTTTAGGGAACATTGCCATGAGGAAGTGCTTCATCAGACTATCGGAGAAAAGACTCAGAAGACTTCCGAAAGACCACACCATAAGGCTGTCCCTGGTCTGGTACTCCACACCGTCCCCGTGAACGAACAGCGGGACGACCTTCCTCTTCCAGTCCCTGCCTTTGAGGGCAGGTACATTCTCCAGTCGGTCGTCCCCTGTTGCGAGGGCACTGTTCCAAAAAGCTTCGAGCTTGTCCAAGCCCAAAGACTCGAAGATTGCCGGGTACCCTGTTGCGAGGGTACTGAAGACCATGTGTGGCAACATGATTCCGGCATCTTCAGTCGAGTCCTTGTTTGTTTTAGGGTCCAAGACCGGGATGGGCACCTGCAGAGGCTCTGGCACACGGCTAGCACTGCAAAACCTTCTCGTCACGTCCCTGGCACAGTTGCCGGGAACTTGCCCGAAGTTGCCAGCCTTGGCCAAGGCTACAACTTCCTCGTGCTCCACCCCGTCCAGTGTGGCGAGGAGGGCCAACCAACACATGGTCGTGGCTGCTATGTTCCCATGAGCCCACAAGGACAGCAACCCTGTTGCGAGGGAGCTTTCTCCTCTTTCAACCCTTTCCTTTTGCTCGGCCGTGCCCCTTGCCAAGTCCAGGGCATGGCCTCTGAGCCTCTTGGCTGGCTGGCCTCGCTCACGGCCGGCCATGGCTCTAGCTTCGCTATGATTTCAAGCCAAAACGGCAGCGAAGAGGTTCTGCTGCCAAGCAAGTTCCTTGAGGTGAGGCTTGGGCCTTGGGGCACTGCGTAAGGTTATTGAGGGTTCGGCTTGGGCTTGGGGCTTCTGGGTTTAAGGACCTAGAACCCAAAACACTGCTCACAAGAACCCTTTCTTTTTGGCAGAGCTGCAGCAGTGCAGTCCGGTCTGTCGCCAGCCTGTTGGCAGGCTCGGTCTACAAGCCGAAGCTGTGACACGAAAAAAAACTTTGTCGAGGACGGTTGTGCTCTGTTTCGAGAGCAACGGCTGTCCTGCTCTGTTTCGAGAGCAAAGGAGTGCTGTGCTCTGTTTCGAGATCACTGGCAGTGGTCTTACACCCTGTTTCTAGGGATGCCACTGTGCCCGAGCTGATTACTTCAGCTTCGAGTACTTGCTGGGTGTTTTGGCAGCCATCGCCAGGAGTTCCTTCCCCAGGTCTTTCGCCTGGTTCACCGTGGCCGCCGCCTGCTGAAGGAGGCTCACCACCACCTCCTTCTTGCAGACTCTCTTCGAGGACACCACTCGTCTTCTGCAGCAGCCCGTCCAGGTCTGCCAAAGCTTTTTTGGCATCCTTCTGCGAGGCGGCACTGCAGTAGGACGAAGCCTTGGCCTTTGCCAAGG